TCCAGGGTTCGGCGCTGCTCGGTATGACGTTCTGGAGCTGAGCACGGTGAGGGGGAGAGGGAGAAGGGGACTCTGGCGGCCCGAGCCCCACACTTTTGCCCCAGAGCCACAGGCCCCCACTGTGGGTCACTTTACTCCCTACACCCAGCACAGCTGCCCATCTCAAATTCCAGGAGTCACTGGCCCTGGGGCCCTCACCTCTCTGGAGCCTTAGCCCCCTTCCATCCATGCACTGTGGCTCCTAAGGGGGAACCGGGAAACTTCTTGCTCACAGCCTCTCCCCACCAAAAATAATGCTGCAGGGTCCCCTCCTTCCACCCTGACTCTGCCTGTCTGTCTGCAGGACCCTGGTGGGGGCACTCCACAGAAGCTATGCCTGGGCCTGGGAGCCAAGGCCATGTCCCTCTCCCGACCGGGTGAGACAGAGCCCATCCACAGTGTCAGCTATGGCCATGTGGCCGCCTGCCAGCTAATGGGCCCCCACACCCTGGCACTGAGGGTGGGAGAGAGCCAGCTGCTCCTGCAGAGTCCCCAGGTGAGTGGGAAGAGGGTGCGGAAGGAGGAAGGAAAAGGATGTCAAGAAACATTTATTAAATACTGAGCATGGACCAGGTACAGCTCTAGACTAGACCCTGGGGATCCAACAGGGATCAAGTTGCTTACTGGAGCCAGGGATCAGACACTAAACAAGGAATTAAAGACTGTTTAAGATAGTGATAAATGCTACAAAGAAGAGGGTAGTGTGACAGGAAGTGACTGGAGGGAGCCATAGCATTAGGTAGAATGGTCAGGAAAAGATACTCAAAGAAAGTGACATTTAAGCTACCCAAAGGAAGATCTGGGGCCACAGCATTCCAGGTAGAGGGACTTGCAAGTGCAAAGGCCCTGATGTGAGAATAAAGTTAGCATATTACAGGAGCAGAAAGAAGTAAGTGTGATTGGCACATAATGAGTGAGGGAGAGTGATGATGAGGATGGAAAGGTTGTGGCAGCAGCTCATGTAAGGCCTTGATAGGGAGCCTGGGCGGAGGATGAGATGAAGGAGGACCCAGTGGCCCCTGATGTACTCTGACCTCTGCCCTGTCTTAGGTGGAAGAGATCATGCAGCTGGTGAATGCCTACTTGGCCAACCCCTCCCCTGAGAGGCCCAGCAGCAGCCCTTCTCCTCCATGCCAAGACCTGCCAGACACCTCCCCTCCCAGCCAGCACCCGGGCCTGGATGAGCCCCAGGGACAGTCTGGCTGTTTGGGGCAGCTGCAGGACTGAGCCTGCCAAGAGGTCATGACCTTCCTCTTGCCTCCAGCCTGGACCTGGACTGCTCTGAGATTTCAGGGAAACATGGACCCTTTTGGCCCTGCAGGGACAGGGCACACCCCACACCCAAGGACTGCAATGGGTGCAGACAATTTTCTAGTTTGTTTCTTAATTTATTTGTAGAAGAGAAGCAAAAAAAAAAAATCCTTATTTACACAAACCCTTCCTGTGGGAGTGTTGTTAGTGGGACAAGTTGGAGCCTCACAGCTCAGAGCTCCACCCCTGGGGACGCCCACACTCTGGGTTTTTACTAGCAGGGGAGTCTGAGCACCACAGGGCTCCACCCTCCTTGACCTTCTGCATTTAACCTCTTCCTGGCCAGTATGCTGCCCTAGGGTGGTGGGTGGGGCAGGCAAGAGAGCAGTTTTGGAAGCTGGCAATTACTCACCCTCTCTTCCATTGAGTGGCATAGGGGTGGCCTGGTGGCGTCCCTGAGGCCCGAGGGCAGTGAGTCATCAGGATCAGCATGACCCAGTCCTACTTTGGTGTCCAGATTCTAGGCCCTGCTTGGGTCCATCTTTAATGTGCCTACTGCTTTGGGCCCTGAATGGAGAGAAGCTTGGGGCAGGATCAAACCCAAGAACTTCTCTGGCACAGATAAAGAATTTATTAGGATGGGCTCAGACCCTGAGCTCCTGTCCGTTCCTGCTTTATCAGATTGGGTTGAATTGGGTTGACTCCTGAGGGTCTAATGGCCAAGGGCCTGGAATCCAGAGCCTCAGCTTTCCTGACCTCAGAATGCTGCAGGCCCTCTTTCAGTAGCCCCTACAGCCTCTGCCCTGAGTGGAGGAGGCTGAGGCAATCTGGGCAATCTTGATCTACCCTGGGGCAGGAGCTTAGGCACTGAGCAGACCTCAGTAACCCTCTGTAGTCTTGAGAGTAGGCTGGCCCCAGTAAAACAGCCTGGTTCTAGGCAATGGATGCTAATGGAAATAGTGGACACACAAAGAAAGGGATTAAGTGGTAAGAAGCCAGAGCAAGGAAAGACCATTCTACCAACACATACCTGGGAGCTGTAAGGCAACGTGGAGAGCCTTTCATCATCCCCTATATTCACAGACCAAGCCCTGACGATATTCACAACCAAGCTTTATTACTTTACTAGAGCTAAATAAGCATATCATAGGTCAGGGCATGGAAGAGAGGAGCTCTCTTGAGCTGGAGAAGAACCTTGATAGATCGTTGGTGAGAGGAATTGGGGCTGGAGAGACCAGGCATGATGGGGGCTGTGCTTACTGTCCTGGAGGTTTCATGGGGAGGAAGTCACTGCTCCTGGGTGCCCCAGGAGATGTAGTCTGGCCGCGTGGCTGCGTGGTATTCATCAATGAGCTCTTGCACAACCTCTCTGGACCTGTCCAGCTCATCAAAGTTCTCCTTGAAGATGTCCTCCTTGCGGAACTGCTCCAAGAAGGCCTCCCGCTTCCGCAGTTTGTCATACTGCTGGCAGGAACTTTCAAAGAGCTGAAAGAGAAAGAAATCTCCATGATCGGAGCCAGTGCAAGAGAGGGGGTTGGAATGGAATTGGGGGAGAATGGTGAAAGTGGCTAGTGGAATGGAGTGGCCAAAGAAGACCAGGAGACT